AAATTGGCGAGTGGGTGGTCGAAACTGCACTCCTGTAACCCCGAGTTCTCTTCTCAGTGGTGTAATGCTCTCCTATCCTACCGCAGACTGAGCGATTGCAGTGGTGAGGTGCATGCAGTGTAGGGAGGGGTGAATGAGAAAAAAGCCCCCCAGCATACACCCAAGGTTCACACACCCCACTGCAGACATAACCAGGGAATCACACCGCCAGTTGCATATCCATTGAGAGCCACCTAGGGAGGTAAGTACTGGTACTCTCCTGCAATGTTAACCTCTGGACAAATAGCCTCAGGGAGGATAGGGAAGCCCTCAAGGTCACAGAGCCCCTGACAGCCAAAGTAGCCTGCATTAGTGTAGTCCTGTCTTAGTTACATTCAGCAGGTGAACAGTGCCTCAGTTATTAGTGTTGTCATTGACCCCATTTTACAGATGAGAGCCTAAGATGAAGACAACTCACCCAGTGTCAGAGCTGGACCCAGAGTGATGCTCTCAGGAGCACAAGACCCAGAACAAGCTACACGGACCCACACTCTGCTCCTTGCTCATCTGCACAAATGATCAGTTATTTGGAGAGGCAAAGCTGGGATTCATCCTTGCCCAAAGCAGATGTAGAACAGGGCCTGTCCACTCTGCCTGGTGTACTAGGCTCTGGGCTCTAGTCTGATGCTTGGTGGTATTTTGAGAGGTCCAGGTCCCAAGCTGGCCAAGGTGTACTGTGTCCCAAGGTCCCAATTGCATGTTTCCTTAGTTCTGGGAAGGTTGTTGTGTCCTGCCTCTATGGAGGAAGATTTGAGGCGCCAAGGAAGAAAGGAATGGAATACTTCCTCACTCAGGAGAAGGGAGGCAACCCATCTTCAGGCTCTGATAATAGGTGGGAACCCTGACTTAGGAAAGAGTGCTGGCACCTTCTTCCTGCTGCTGCTGGCCAGAGCTCTGCTCGTGTGCAGAAGAGGCCAGAGGAGGAAGCTGGAACGCAGCAGCAAGTGCTCTCCAGCTCTCATCTGCCACCTCAAGCCATCTGCTAGGTCCTGAGCCTCTCTGTGGTCTTCTTATGCCCCAGGAACATCTATGCTTTGGATCATTTCGAAGTCTCGGGGATGTGTAAGGGCCATCTTTCACCTCAATCACCTCTTCTGTGAAGTTGAGTGAACACTGGCATCTAGCTCTTAGCTCACTGTGAGACAGTCAGGGTGAGCCACCTGAGGACTGGATACAGAGCCTTTCAGTGCTTATTGGAACTGAGGCAGCTTTCTGCAACCCACTGGGCCACCCTTCTGGGTTCTGTGGTGAGGGCAATTACTTCCTCTCTCTGAGTAAACAGTACCTGACTGCTGGGGGATAGGCTGTCATAAAAGGCACACAATAGGTATGAGGGCCACACCCCACAGGGGATGAGCTGTGATGAGGGAGAGGCACAGAGGGATCCCAGAGGTTTTGAAGAATAGTCCAGATTGCTGGCTTCTGTTGAAAACTTAGGAAACTTGGTAAAATTCTCCTCTCCTCTGCTCATACAGTTTTGCATGTGGCCAGGAAAGAGCTTCAGGTTTGGAGGTATTTGGGGCATCTGTTCCTGGGGAAAGACTGACTGTGGGATTCCAGGGCCAGGCCCAGACTGAGTAGATCAGCGACAGGATCCTGTATGGGAAAGGGTGGAAAAGGGATTTCCTGGCCAAGTAGGGACAACCCAGAGTATCTTTGGGCATTTGGCCCAGTGGGAGCCAGGTCCCAGATGAGTCTGGTCCCTGCCACAAACTGCAAGATGGCCACATGGAGATAGTCCCACCTGCAGCATGGCCATGGTTCTGTTGGGTCCAGGAAGCCAGAACAAACCTGACAGGCTAGGAAAGGCACAAGGAATGTCTGGCTATGTCTAGAGCTTGACAGAGAATCTGCCGAATGTGGGAAGGTGATGTTGAAGACATTAGGCAGATAAAATGATACATGGGCCAGACATGGGTTTAAAAGCCTATAACTGGATTGTGAATGGAAGGTAGGTTTTTGTTTCTGTGTGTGTGTGCGAGCCCATGCTGTCTGTTTTGTGAGTGCACATGAGTGCTGATGTGTGAAGGCATGAGTTCAACCCAGGTTGTCATTCCTTAGGCCCTGTCCATCCTTTTGAAAGTCAGGGTTTGGAGCTAACCAACTAGTCTTGACTGGCTGGCTGGGAGACAGGGACCCACCTGTCTCCGTGTATCTTTTTATGTGTTGTGGGGATTGAACTCAGGTCCTCAAACTTGCCTGGCAGGCACTTTAGTGACAGCTATCTCTGTAAGTCTCTGGGGGGGTGGTTTTCTGAGGGAAGAAAGTAGAAGTCTGTGCTTGGGCAAGTCACTTCACTGCTGTGGCTCTCAGATCCTCACACGTACATTGAGGCCACATTTGTAGTAAAGGCTGGATTTCGGTGCACTCAAAACGATGAACCCCTTCAGCCAGGAGGGGATATTGAGTGAGACAGTGACTGTGACAGGGTTTTATGGATTAGTGGCACAAAGTGAAGGTCAGGGTCAGCTCATCCCCCTGTAAGAGAGGAGTGGGAGTGGAGCCTTGAAGAGCAGGAAGGAGGAATTGATTTATAGAAAGAGAAGGCGCCTCCAACGAGGAGGGCCAGGCACAGCTGGCCAGAGGACATCATTGTGGTGCAGGAAGGGCTTAGAAGATGTGAGCCCGAAGAGTGATGTGGTGAGCTTACTAAGTGCACCTCCAAGGCCAGTGTACACTCGGTGGCAGTAAGGAGCCACTGCAGGCTCCTCCTGTAGAAGTGGGCAAGGGTTTGGATGTAGGTATCTTTGAACATGGGCAGGATTTTCTAGTTGCTTGTGATTAATAGAGACAAGGAAGAATTGATAAGGAGCAAACAAAGATCATTGGTCATGTCCACATCTAAGTTCACACACATTTGTAGAGTGGAATTCCAAGTTACATCTATACCACTGCATCATTAACTTGATCTCTTGTTGCTTAGAAATCTGCAAATTGCCCCCAGGTACCATCTTGTCACCTTGTTACTGGCTATACATCCATAGTGCAATTAGTTGGTCTAAAGGACATTCTGAGCCAAAAATTGTTCCCCCAGTTTCCTTCTGGATTCTTTCCATTAGCTACCTTTCCTGAAGACATATTTTCATTCTAAGAGAATGAAAGTTTTAATGCCTTAAGATCGGGCTTATAGCCAGGCGGTGGTGGTGCACGCCTTTAATCCCAGCACTCGGGAGGCAGAGCCAGGAGGATCTCTGTGAGTTTGAGGCCAGCCTGGGCTACCAAGTGAGTTCCAGAAAAGGCACAAAGCTACACAGAGAAACCCTGTCTCGAAAAACCAAAAAAAAAAAAAGATCGGGCTTATAAAGTACTGGAGCGGTAGCTCAGCAGTTAAGAGCACTTGCTGCCCTTCCAGAGGACCAGGGTTCAATTCCCAGCACCTACATCAGTTGACTCATAACTACCTGTAACTCCAGTTCCAAGGGGCCCAATATCTCTTCCGGACTCTACAGGCAGTGAGTGCACAGGGTGTACAAACTCAGACATACACTCACACATATACATGAAATCTTTTAAAAATAGACCTAAGAGCCAGGCAGTGGTGGCACACGCCTTTAATCCCAGCACTTGGGAGGCAGAGGCAGGCGGATCTCTGTGAGTTCGAGGCCAGTCTGGTGTACAGAGTGAGTTCCAGGACAGGCTCCAAAACTACAGAGAAACCATGTCCCCCCCCCCCCCCCCCAAAAAAGGCTATGTCCTTAGCACTCAGGGGTCAGAGCCTGGTGGATCTCTGCGAGTTCAAGGTCAGCCTGTTCTACAGAGCAAGATCCAGGACAGGCATCAAAACATTGTCTTGAAAAAAATTTTTTAAAAAAATAGACCTAAGATATATTCTTTTATGGTTTTCAGCAGGTTGTACTGTCTAGAATTTGTTTGTTTGTATTTTGAGACAGGATTTCTCTATGTAGTCCTGGCTATCCTGGAATCCAATCCATGGACCAGGCTGGCTTTGAACTCAGAGATCTGCCTGCCTCTGCCTCCCAAGTGCTGGGATTAAAGGCGTTCGCCACCACCGCCCCAACTCTGTCTAGAATCTTTTAAAGCACATATACAGTTATCAAAATTTAAAAATCTAAACCAGGAGAAGTGGTGTATGCTTGCTTGTATTCCCAGCACTTGGGAGGTAGAGGCAAGAGGATCAGGAGTTTGAGGGTAGGCTGAGATATATGAGACTGTGTCTAAAAACAAATAATAGAAACTTAAAATCTGCCTTCCTGAGCAGGTGCACCTTGATAATTTCTGTATCCTTTCAGAAATACTATGTGCAGCTACAATATTCAGTTGAAATTGATAATACTGTTACTTCTTGTTCAGCAAATTGGTTTCATTTTTTTTTTTTTAAATATTTGAGAGTATGGGATATATCCACTAAGTACACAGTGTACCGGATCCTGTAGCCTGCACATAGGTTTAACAGATGTTGCCATTTTGTTCTGACATCTTGTTCTGGGTTGGTGGGTGTTGGAGGAGTCCAGTTACTACAGACTATCCTAGTAGACATAGTGCTTTAGATAATTCTGATGATCTGTTCATGTAGTCGATGCACCCCACTTTGTTGGTCTGGGAGACATCCTAAGGAGACCGAGGCTCTGCTTCAGCTTGGGTTTACATCTCTGTTCCCTCTCTCGCTTCAGCTGTTAATTGGGTGTGTGACACTTTTGTTGTTTTTTGAAGACAGGGTGTTAGTGGCCTTGGCTGTCCTGGAACTCGGTATGTAGAACAGGCTGGCCTCGAACTCACGGAGATCCTCCAGTCCTGTGTGTGTGGTTCTCCTGTCTGGTACTGCTTGTCATACTCCTAGACTCACAGGGGTTGGAAGGCGTAGAAAACTAAAGTGTCTAAAATGCAGAAACTTCCCTGGGCTTGGTACAGCCAGTTCTTCCGACATCAGCTGAACTAGGGCTTCCCCTTCCCCCCCCACCCCCCCCCACCCCCCTGCCTCGCTGGGGGCGGGGTGGCGAAATGTTTCTGTGACGTCAACATACGCAGGACCAATCCCCCTGCCCAGGAGACGTTAAGTCGTTTGCATGGGGTGTCGGTCATTGGTCTCTCGGGCCACCTGGGCTGTCGCCGCTTTTTAAAGGCGCCGCGTAACGGAACAGAAAACAGGAGAGACGAGAGGCGCGGTGGGCTATGAGGTCATCGCGGGCCTGCAGGGCTTGGGGTGACGTCACCTCCGGGAAGCGTGCCGGCCGGGGCTGAGGGCGGTCCTCTCACCTCGGCTGCATGCGAGGCTGCGGTCCCCGCGGCCCTAAGAAGGTAACCGTGCCATCTTAATGCGCGCCGTGGTCCCACACTCGGGGGTGCCCCGTCCTTCACCTGCCACCCGGCTCTGGGGGCCTTGAAGTATGAGGTGGGGGCGAGGAGGCTTTTTTAACCGGGCTTCCAAGATGGCGGCCCGCTAGTCACGTGCCGCCCGCAGAGCGCGATTGGCCGGCGCGGCGTCGAGGGGCGGGGCCCGAGGGGCGGGGCGGGCGCCGGCTCTTGCGGCTGCTGTTTGCTTTGAGCGTCCTGGCGCGCCCCCGCGAGCCGCCTCCCGCGCTGCGCGTTCCCGCCGCTCCGAATGTTGTGAATCAAACGTGGGGCTGGTTCCATCCGGCCGCCGCGGACAGTTCTTAAAGGGCCAGCCCGCCGGATCGCACAGCTGCGTCCTGCGCCGCCCTTCTCTCGTGTCCGTGCCGGGGAGGCGGAAGACAGAGCAGGCTCGGGAAGGAGCCGGCGCTCCACCATCCGCACCCCGCATCGCGAACAAAGGAGCCCGCGTGTTGTCGGACGGCTGCCGGTGAGTCGGGCCAGGCCCCTAACTTCGGACCCGCACCCCGGAACGGTGGTTCCCTCGGGGACTCGCTGTGGTTTGCCGGCTTCGTGGGCATAGATCCTGGGCTGCCGGGGTGGGGGCGACGGCGGTGAGGCCCCCGGGCCAGGTGCTGCCTGGGGCTACCTAGACTCGGCCAGGCCACCCCTCTGCGGAGCTGAGCGCTGCGGTGGAGGGGAAGGAGCCACCCCCTCCCCCTGCAGCCGCCACTTCCTTTGTTGTTGCTTTTGTCTCACGCCGAGCACATGGTCCGGGATCCTCGGTTCTTAAAGTCACAGCGCTCTAGTCCTTGCGCTGCTGCCTGGCCCCGTCCCTCAGTGTTCCTCCGAGTGCGGCACTAAGGAGTAAGAGGGGGTCAACGGAGTCTCTCCTGGGACAGGTGTGCGAGCTTCGGCCCCGTCCCCAGGGAGGGGTGGCTTTGGAAGATTGCTGGAACCCCACTGCCTGCGTCTGGCCTGCTTTAGGGAGGAGCCTGATCCTGGAGGACTTTGTTTTCCTCCCCCACTAATGTGAACACCTGGTTTCTTGTCTCTGGCATTTTAGGGGTGCCCTGGGGAGATTTCACCCCCGTTTTAATTTGTTACAACTGAGGCTTAGCGAAAACTAAAGGAGTTCTTTAACCAAGGTCACCCAGGGAGTCTAAGCTGGCCAAGGTGTGGTGGTCCCACCCTCAACTCCCTCAGCGGTCTTAATACAAGTTGGGAAGCTCCTCTTTAGAGTGGGAGTTGGGCGAGCAAGTAGGGAGGGGGGGAGGTTTTCTTCCCGCCTGAGCCTGTTCTTGGTCTTGGAGTCTCACTTTGCTGGTCTGCTACAAGGGAGCATCTTTTTTTTTTTGCAAACAGACTCTATGCCAGGGTCAGATACGTGCTTGGAACACTGTACTGACAGGGTTGTGGACTCATGGGGGCAAGATAGGACTTAGGGCAGCTTACACAAACTTCTTAGTTCTTAGTACAGTGAAAGAGGTGTGCAAAAAGCATTGTTACTGGTTGACCTTGAGTGTGTCGCTAGATCCAGCTCAGTCTCTTGCACGTCTCCAGGACAGCTACTCACAGATACTAAGAGACTCACCATGTCCTGTGTGACTCTAGAAGTTGTCTGTGGTTTTTTTCCTCTGACCACTGTTATCATTGAGAGGGGACTAGGACTTGTGGAGCCTGGGTCTAGGGAACCAGCCAGGACCAATTCTGTCCTCCGTGGTCTAGAGCAACTCCTCTTGGGGCTTCAGTAACTGAAATGGGTGTGTCCCCCTTTACCACTTTTGTTCCTAGTAGGAGTTACAGAATCACCTTTCCCTTCTGGGGTACGCAGCTAGGGCAGCATGCTTCTCTGACCTTCAACACTTACTGTACCTCATGTCTGCCTAGTGTTGGAGTGCAGGATAGCGGGTCTTTATTTTCTAGTAATGGTCATTCACACTACCTCTGGCATTCACTTTAAGGACTGATTCTTCTGTTAGCTTTAGAGTGGCCATTGATGGTTCCCTGGGAGATCATTCTTAGGTTGTTCCCATTTTTACAGAGGAGGAATCTGAGGTTCAGGGACCGGAAGCCATGGACCTAAGACCCTGACAAGAATTTGGGGGTGTTGTTTGTTAGGGGTGATGCTGTTCCCTTGGGCACTATCACCCACTAAATGTCCTCTGTCTGCTGGTTTGGGGTGGGTTACTCCTGGCCCTTGTTTGTAGCTAGCGTGGAATCCGGAAGTGTGTCAGGATATCTATAGTTGGCCCAGCCAGGGGTCACAAAGCCAGTCACCAGTGACAGCCAGATGCAGAGTGTGGACAGGGTCTGGGGAAAGGAGGACACGTGCTCCCTCCCCTTCTAGCCTTCCTTGGAGACCAGGATTTGTGGGTAGGAATTTATAATCTCCCAGTGTTCCCTCACTAGCAACAGCCTGTCATCACTACCACACTGTGTGCTTTACACACTTCTGTGGTGGGCTTTCTTCAGTGAATCCCACCCTTGTTGAGTACCAGGCTTGTGGCCTTGGCCAGGCACCCCTTGGGTAATGTGGAGAGGGCATTCTGTGCAGCCTTGAAGCGTCTTGGGTAAAGGAAATGGTTCTTCTGATGTTAGCTGGAATGATTGAGGTGCTTAACTGACCTTCTTCCCTTGCTGTGTTAGCAGGTAGCAACATTTGGAACTGGACATGAGGCACACATAGGTTTGTTGGTTGAGAAAGAGTAGAAAGGCCTCCTTACGGCAGTGATGGCAGAGAACTGGCCCAGACTCTTCAGTGTGTCAGGGCCTGATGGGGTTTCAGAGTGGTCCTTTCCAGGACTTCATCCTGACTCTGAGTTAGGAGATGAGAGCACCCTCCCCACTTAACCCTAAAGAGGAGACCTGCCCTGACCCATTCCTGCCCATCTTCCTCTCAGATTCATCCTTCTTCAAAGAGCTCTGCTTCCTACATTGGGGTCTACATGGGGTCCCAGAGCAAAGACACTGATGCATGCCAGGCCCAGCATGCTACCAGTGGCAAGTTTCTTTCCTAGGCCCTGTGAAGCCTTGAGGTGGCCTTCACTATAGCAGCAGGATGTGTAGATAGGCTTGAAGTTGCCCTATTTCCTAGCTGAACACGTATGTGGGACCTAGAGCAGTGAGTCTCTTCTGCCGAGCCTACTAACACCTTTCCTTAATTAATGGGTGGCGTCACAGCTGAGTGTGCACCAAGGTGAAGGGCTGGGGAGAGAGAATGGTGTCTGACCTTAGACCAAAAGTTTCCAAGGATGGAAATGGGTCAGACCATCTTACCTAGCCCTTGAGAGTGAGCCCCAGGTCTTTTTGAAGTTCCTCTTTCCAACTACATAAAAGGGGAACCTGGAGCTCCCAAGAGCCCCATCTGCCTAGAGGCCAAGATGTAGCCAGGGGTGAGGCAAAGGAAGCTTCTTCCAGCCTGAGCCTCTCTGGAGCCAGCTGGCCCTTAAGCACACTGGTCTGGTCTCTGAATTTATGGTGTCCTAAGATTTGATCCCACTTCACAGAGCAGAAGGCTCAGTCTAGTCTGTTAACCCTGGACCCCAGCTCCAGAGGAGGACCTCTCTGGGTTTTTCTATCCCTCTATGTCTTTCTCTACTTGCCTCCTAGGGTTGTGAGCCCCGGCCCAGCCCCTCCACCTCCCTGCTCCCCTGATGAGACCATGGACTCTGGCAGTGACTAAGTGGCCACCCTCTGCCCCTGTGCATCACTGGCAATTCTCTACAAGACCTAGCAGCAGTCCAGGCCAGCTCTGGGGAAGGTAGGAAGAAGTCTCCATCCCTAGTTCAAGGGTAGCCATCTTGACTGGGTTCAGGGACAGAGGAGTGGGCCCCAGGGCCCTGAGCTATCTATCTTGGCTTCCTAGTGTGGGTTATGACCCTGGCTTCCCTCCCTGCATTATAAATGAGTGGTGCTCCTCTGTCCTGTTGGGGCTCCTCTGTGTGGTACAGCCTTGGCCACGCGGGGCCCCTGGCCAGCCCACCTGCCCAGGATGAGCACTTACCCTCCCAGCAGCTGCTGCCCCAGTCATCACCCCTCTCTGTAGAGGAGCACCGGGCCTCAGCTCCTGCCGGCAGGAGCCCACGAATGCTGCACCCAGGCACCCAGCAGAGCCCGTTCATGGTTGATCTCCACGAACAGGTAGGTAGGACAACTCTTAGACCACCCTGCCCCCCAGCTTCTGTCAAACGGGTCTAAGAAGCAGAGGCAGCAAAGCTGATTGTCTGTTGCTGTACTTAGCGTGTTAGTCCCTTGATACGGGTAAAGGGAGGGTCTTCTCTGAGGGGCCTACTGTCAAGGATTCATTAGGACACCAGTTCTGCCCAACAGGACTTTTTTGTATTTTGAGACAGGGTCTCACTATGTAACCCTGGCTGACCTGGAACTTCTGTGTAGACCAGGCTGGCTTCATGTCCCAGAGACCTTCCTGGCCTCCCACAGGACTCTTTCTCTGAAGATTGCTCTTATAGCCAGGCTTCCTCCCTAGAGTTCCCTGGTGCTCTCTCCACAGGTGCACCAGGGACCTGTCCCTCTGTCCTACACAGTCACCACAGTGACCACCCAAGGCTTCCCCTTGCCTACAAGCCAACACATCCCTGGCTGCAGTGCCCAGCAGCTCCCAGCATGCTCCGTGATGTTCAGTGGGCAGCACTACCCCCTCTGCTGCCTCCCACCTCCGGTGAGTGAATGCTTTCTTCTCGCACCCCAGGTGCATGCCACACTCTCCATCCCAGCAGGTATGAGCACAGGCACCCTTGGGAACTGAGCTAGATGCCTGTGCAGGCTGTCAGTGTACTACTAACTTGGCCTTCTGGCCACGGCCCAGAGCAGCATGTTTGTGTTCCCACAGAGGTGTGAGGCAGCTTAGAGGTCAGGGACCTTTCCGTAACAAAGCTCCTGCCGCATGCATTGGCAGAGGCCCTGCAGTGGAGGCTGTGGGGTGGCATCCTACCTTGGCAGCCTAGGACAAGAATGGGACTTGGAGCTGCTGTAGCTCCTGGGTTTGTGTGTACAGTGAGAACCTTTAGCTGGGTGCTGTTCCCTGGCCTCGTGGCACATAGGCCAGCTTCTTTGCCCTCTCTCAGCAGCTGATCCAGGCGTGTGCCATGCAACAACTCCCTGTGCCCTACCACACCTACCCCCACCTCATCTCCAGTGACCACTACATTCTTCACCCCCCGCCACCGGCCCCACCGCCCCAACCTACCCACATGGCTCCTCTTGGTCAGTTTGTATCCCTGCAGACCCAGCACCCACGTATGGTGAGTTTGGGGAGTTGAGGGGGGGTGCGGAGTGGAAAGGCAGGGATGTGGTTGTCAGCCGCTGGCTGACTTGTCCCTTCCCCTTCCAGCCCCTGCAGCGACTGGATAATGAGATGGACCTTCGAGGGGACCAGCACCCCATAGGTAGCTTCACTTACTCCACCTCTGCCACTGGCCCGGCCTTGTCACCCTCGGTGCCCCTTCACTACCTGCCCCATGAACCATTGCACCAGGAGCTGTCCTTCGGTGTGGTAAGTGCCAACCCTGTCCCTCTAGCCAGGCTTAGGGCAGTGAGCAGTCAGGCCTGCTAGCTCACCTACTACATCTGTTTCTCTGCCCACAGCCGTATTCCCACATGATGCCACGAAGACTGAGCACACAAAGATACCGTCTACAGCAGCCGCTGCCGCCGCCGCCACCGCCACCGCCGCCACCACCACCACCGTCTTATTACCCAAGCTTCCTACCCTACTTCCTGTAAGTGCCAGCACAGAGCCATTAGGCCTTGTTTTCTCGGGCCCCCCACAGCTCTAGTGGCCCACACCACACATAGCAGTCGTCCCTGCCTCTCTTCTGGTGTGCTTGAACAAACCCCAGGATCCTGATGTGAGCCATGCAGAGCTCTGCAGACAGGGGGGGGGGGGGGGGGGGGGGGGGGGGGGGGCTGGTGCTTTGCACCATCTCCCTCTGCTGACCTGCACTCTGGGGCTCCTCTCTAGTTCAATGCTGCCAATGTCGCCGACCACCATGGGCCCCACCATCAGCCTGGATCTGGATGTGGATGACGTGGAGATGGAGAACTATGAGGTCTGTGGTACCTGTGCTGGGAGGTGGGGTTTGGGAGACCTCCAGCTGAGGTGCTGCTGACCTCCCTTGCCTGGCTCTAGGCCCTCCTGAACCTGGCTGAGCGGCTGGGAGATGCCAAGCCCCGAGGCCTCACCAAAGCAGACATAGAGCAGCTGCCGTCATACCGCTTTAACCCTGACAACCATCAGTCGGAGCAGACCCTGTGAGTGTCCTACCCAGACCCCCGGGAGGGGGCTCTGCCGTCAGGGTGGGGGTGACACTGTGCTCCTCCTCCTCAGGTGTGTGGTCTGCTTCAGTGACTTTGAGGTGCGGCAGCTGCTCCGAGTCCTTCCCTGCAACCATGAGTTCCATGCCAAGTGTGTCGACAAGTGGTTGAAGGTGAGGTGGCCCTCACTCCAGGGAGCCCCGTCTGCGGGCGTGGAGAGTTTATCCCAGTCAAATAGGTGGGGGGCGGGAGGTCAGAGTGAGGTCTGATGTATGGCTGTTCCTCCCAGGCTAACCGGACCTGTCCCATTTGCCGGGCCGATGCCTCCGAGGTGCCCAGGGAGGCTGAGTGAGGCTCCTTCAGCCACCCACAAGAACCCTGCCCAGAGCTCCGGAAATGGGTGGGGGGAGGCAGGGAGTGGCCCAGGGAGACCTGTAAGGGAGGCCCAGGCCTGTCTCAGCGTTCTCACCTGCAACTCCAGAGCTGGTGCCAGGGTCAGCCCTGGAGAAGCCCCTGCAATAAGCCCCTGCGTTTGCCAAGCTCCAAAGACTCCTTCCCCAAACTGCCTGCCTGCCTGCCCGTCCGTCCGTCCGTCCGTCCTTCAGCCCGCCTGCCCGCCATGGAGCTGCCTGAGTGTCCCCAACTCAGTCTGCCTCTTATTTGCCCTTGGGTCCTTCTTCCTGCTGGCTCTGGGAGGCAGGAGTCCATTCCCCAAGTGTGGTGGCTGGTGTGATTCCCCACCCCCCAAAATGGGCAAAGGAGTAGCCACCCTGGGTCAACCAGTCTCTTGTACGGAAGTGAAGTAGTCCCTGCACAGGTGGTAGGTACTACCACGTCTGTGGGCAGATAGTAGCCGGAGACCATTTCCTAAGTCCCAGATCTGAGTCCTGTTTGATTCCAGACAGACTTGGGCAGTCGGCTCTTCTCCACTGCTGCGCAGTGTGGGTCCGACTCCTCCGGACCCTCACCCCAGGCGCAGCGTTCCAGCCCACCCCCAGGCTGGAAGGTGTACCCAGCCAGGCTCTTGGAGCAGTGGGATGGGGCTCCAAGCTGGACACATTAGGTTCTGCAGGAGCCAAGCCACGATCTGGGCATGTCCTGTGTTTCTGGTGGCTGCCCCTCCACCAGTGACAATGTCAGACCAGTGCTCGGACTTCTCCCCTCTGTCGTTTTGCATGAATGTGAGGAACAGCAGTTTTTTGTTTATTCATTTGGCCCAAAAATTGCGTGGAGGGGGTGTGGATATTTAGAGGTGTTTGGTGGGTTTTTCGTTTTGTTTGGTGGGGGGTTTTTTTGTTTTTGTTTTTTTGGGGGGGTCTTTTTGGTTTTTTTTTTGCTTTTTTTTGTTTGTTTTTTGGTTGGTTGGTTGATTTTGGGGGTTTTGTTTTGTTTTTTTTTGTTTTAATTTTTCTTCTTTGGTTTAAAGGAGTAGGGTGAGGGCATAGGGACCAACCGGGACCAAACGCCCAGGGGGCAGAGAAAGGTCGGGTTGTGCCGCACCAGGCCTCCAAATGACTGTGCGGCTAGAAGTCACAGGGCAGGGTTGGGGGTCTGTGCTCAGCTGATAACTGCCACGCACTGTACTGCACATGTCCCTAGAGCCTACCGGGACCATTTGCTTTTCAGGGCATTCCTCCAGCCAGGGGCTGTCGCCCACCTGCCTGGTTGAGTCTCCTCCTAGGAATCCCATGAGGACAGAGATCAGGGAGGGCGTGAACCTCCACCTGGGGGCCCTCCCAGCCTGATCCCTGCCCTCCAAGGTCTAGAGGAGGCCGAGCTCCCTACTCCCCTTTCAAGTCCCATTCCTTTCCTTCCCCCACCAGGGGTTGCTGCCCTGAGTGAACGAACCGCGTGTGGGGCCGGCACATCCTAGCAGGCAGCCATTGGCGCCTGCTGCCTCAGGGATGCTCCAACCACCCTCGTTCTCATGCGGCAGCCCTGGCTCCCTGCCTCCCACCCCAGCCTGCCAGGGGCCCATTGGCCTGGTCCCACCCCACAAGAACCCAAAGTCTTACTGTATATAACTCCAGGTGATGTTTCTATATTTATAGCAGTGTTGAAAATCCACGTTTTACACAGAGAACCACCTTATCCAGCCCCGTCCCTTCCTCACCCCAACAAAAGGTTTCCAAACCCTTGTGGTTCCTGGGGCAACAGAATTGACTCGTGGGTTGTGTCGGCTGCAGTGATGATTCCAGCAAGCAGCTGCTGGGGGGAACACACCTTTTTTAAATCATTTAAGGAAGATTTATCAAACAATTACTTCGGATGTTTGTGATTTGCCGACCTTGCTGTAGATGCCATGTTACCAATGATTTCCTGTGGTGGGGGCTTGGCATTGTTTACTCTTTATTTACCAACTTCTGGCCTAGGCATGACAGTGGGCACCTTCCCCCAGCATTGCTGGGCCCAGCGCCTGTGTTCTGTTAGAAAGGTTTTTATATATATATCTCTATATATATATAATTACACACATATATATAAACACATGTGATTTGGGGGCCCTGTTCCTTGCACATCTTACAGTTACCTCATTTTTCCCATGTATGTATTTGAAAAAATGCTAATATATAGAGAAAATGGTTCTTAAAGCTTAAATGTGTGGTTTTTTCCATCCCATTGGACTCACATTGGTTTGTAGCATTTAACATAACTAGTATGTTGTATTATATATGTGTATACGGATTGAAATTTTTAACAGATTTGTACTTTTTTTAAAATGAAAGTTGCTAGTTCTGCTTGACCAAGTAGTGCAATCATTATTTTTTTTAATATTGTTGCTGATTTCAGAGGGATATTCACTAATAAATGTATGATGTATACAAGTGCTGCCCAAGCCACCTCTGGCTGCTCGTGTGTTCTTCCCGTGAGAAGTGAAAATTGAGAGTGCCTGGGGGGCTGCTGCTGCAGCCAGTCACAGAAGACATAGTTCCCTGCTCTGCAACCATGAAGTTCGTCAACACTGACCAGAAACAACTGTCTCACGGGAAATTAGATGCTATTGGCAGTTTACAAGAGTCCATCTAACTAGTGGAGGAGAGATCGTTAGTGGTCCTGACTTGTGACTCACATAGCCCATGCTAGCCTCAGATGGCTGTGGAGTGAACTGGAGCCCCTTGCTCCCGTCTCCCACGTGCTTGGTGTTTTTGAGACAGTCTTGCTGTCTGGCCCTGGGTGGGCTCAGATTTGTGACAGTTGTGCTTCAGCCGCTCCAGGTGCTGGGATTGTAGGTGTGTCGTCACACAGGTCCTGACATTGAGATTCTGAGGTAGTGGGCATGTAGTTTAGTGATAGAGTGTGTTAGCTACCCTAGTATGTGCCAAGCTCTGGGCCTCATCCCCAGCACAGTGGAAAAACTAAATTCTGAGGTAAGTTGTTACGACTGGATTGGGATTCAGCCCTGCCTTCCAATTCTGGCATTTCTCCAGAGGAAAACCACTATTGCTCAGGTACTCCTTTTAGTCATTGGACGGCTCTGGTTAGAGATCAGACCTGAGCAGTTCAGTTCTTCAGCAGCATGATTGGCCAGGCCACACCCCCAGAGAGACCTGTGCACCCCTTGCCTTTGCCCCCTGCCCCAAAGGGGCTTCATTTCCATGCTGACAGTGGATGTAGGGGTGAGCATGTCAGAAAACATGCTCTGCAGGGCGGTAGGCTGGTACCTGGGGGCCTTGTGTGGTGCCACTGACCAGAGAGCTCTGGTCAGGTCCTTCTCATGTGATCTTGGGGTCATTTCCAAGTTGGGGGACAGGATCAGCTGAGGTGTTCCTGTAATCTATTTCAGAAGTCCATTGGAAGCATTACAGTTTATAAAGGATAAGGGTTCTGATAATGTAAGTTCAATCAGCTCCCATTCAAGGGCACAGCAATCTGGATTGCATGGTTTAACTGGGCCTTGTGCCGACATGCTGTAAATCTCTAGGAGCTGATTCTTAGCTGATTCTACATGTCCTGTATTTGCTTTGGCTTTGACTGCACACTGTGAGGCACACTGGGACATGGTAGCTTCTTTGTTGGCAGCAGCTGCGTTCCCATGGCCCTAGAGCCATGAAAATTGAAAGTGGAAGTTTGTGAGCTCTTCAGGACTGCAGAAAGCCCAAAGAAAAATCATAAATTATATCAAAACAGTTCACCTCTCATTCACAAAAACTGAAGCTCAATGAGCTGGGAAGAAATGTCATCAGAAGGCTCAGACAGCTGAATCCACCTAGCTGAAAGCCTGCATGCTTCAAGAACCTGTCACACTGCTGAGCAGCAGCAGGAAGTCCCAGGGAAACAGACAAGAAAGGGGAACATCTGGATTTGTAGCCAAGCTAATGAAAACCAGTGAAGAAAACGCATCTGAAAGACTTCTGACAGTTCAACAGGCCACGGGGTACAAGGTCAGCACAATTGTGTAAGCTGAGTGGTGGTTTGTGCCCACCAGCCACTCTAGAAAGAGAATGACTCCTTGAGCCCAGCAATTGGGGCAAATAAGACCATTTAGCAATTCGAGTTACAATTTAATGCAACTTAATCAAAATTTCAGGAAATTTTTGGCTTTTTCTGAAATATGAAAATAACAAAGACCTAGAGAGCAGCTGAAACAGCTTTGCAAAATAAGAATAAAGTGGGAAGAGTCTGCCCGACGGTGATGTTCCAGACCGTAGCTGCATCCACAGGACCATGTGATTGGTCCAACAAGATGGCTGGCTCCACAGGTGAAACTTGATGACTTGTGCTTGATCCTCAGGACTCACACAGTGGAAAGAAAGAACTCTTCAAGTTGTCCTCTGACCTCCACATTGTGCCATGGTTCCCTCCCTCTCTCTCTCTCTCTCTCTCTCTCTCTCTCTCTCTCTCTCCTCTCTCTCTCTCTCTCTCTCTCTCTCTCTCACACACACACACACACACACACACAGGAATGTAAAAAGGCAACACGGGCTGGGCGATGGTGACACACGCCTTTAATCCCAGCACTCGGGAGGCAGAGCCAGGTGGATCTCTGTGAGTTCGAGGCCAGCCTGGTCTACAGAGCGAGATCCAGGACAGAGGGTGCCTGGACTGGTCTACTCTGGTGACCAGTCTAGCTAATAACCTAGCTGTCATCATAGAGCCTTTGTCCAGTGACTGATGGAGGCAGATGCAGAGATCCACGGCCAGGCACTAGGCTGAGCTCCAGGAATCCAATTGATGAGAGAGAGGAGAGATACCACAGGTGAGGGACATGGAGATCATGATGGGAGGACGTGCAGAGATGACCGGCCACACTAGTGGAAGCCCGTGAACTGTGGACTGGTGGCTGTGGAGTCCCCATGGGACTGGACTAGGCCCTTTGGATATGGAAGACAGTTGTTTGGCTCAAACTGTTTGGGGGGCACCCAGGCAGGGGGATCAGGATCTGTCCCTGGTGCATGGGCAGGCTTCTGGGAATCCGGTGCCTGTGGTGTGACGCCTTGCACAGCCTTGGTGCAGTGGGAAGGGGCTTGTACCTGCCTAGGCTCAGTGTGCTGGGCTCTGCTGACTTCCCATGGAGACCTTGATTTGGGGGATGTGGGAATGCGCAGGGGCTTGGGAGAGAGGGCTGGGGGGGGGAGGATGGGGGATCTGTGGGTGGTATGTGAAGTGAGTAGAAAATTTCTTAATAAAGAAAAATGAAGAAAAGAAAAAGAAACACACACACAAAGGCAACACGACAGATTATTATAGATTATGGAACAAAAGAATCCGAAAGTTGTGGCTGGAGAGATGGCTCAGTCTTTTAGAGTATAGGCTGCTCTTACAAAGGACCCAAATTTGATTCCCAGCACCCACATGGAGACTCAATGAAATGTCTCTCTCCAGTCCCAGGAGTGTCCTCTTCTGGCCTCTGCAGGTGCCAGATGTCCACATGCATGGTGCACAGACATACCCACAGTCAAAACCAAAAAGTTTTGTGTGTTTTTAGACAGTCTCACTGTGTCACCCTGGTGGCCTGTTACTGTTTAGATCAGGCTGGCCTCAAACTCACAGAGATCCGCTTGTCTCTGCCTCTGGAGTGCTGGGATTAAAGGAGGCATGAAAACAACAACAACAAAACCACCCAAAAGTCAGTCTATACAATTACAGTTGGCTTTACTAAGAGCTACATTTCACAGTTTATACAACAACAGTAAACACAGAGTGGATTTAAGGGTAAAGATAAAACTTGAAAACTAGAAAAATTTGTAGAAACTGCCAGATCTAGGGCTAGGCAAAGTAGTTTTGACTGTTACATAAAAATCATTTCATAGCCCAGCCTGGGCTACCAAGTGAGTTCCAGGAAAGGCGCAAAGCTACACAGAGAAACCCTGTCTCGAAAAAAAAAAAAAAAAAAAAAAAAAAAAAAAAAAAAAAAAAATCATTTCATAATATCAGCCAGTAATTGGATACTGTCAAAATGGAAAAAAAAAAAAGCAACAACCTGCAAACCACATATCTGACAAAGGGTTCATTTCTCATATAAAAGCAGAAGTTTGCCAGGCAGTGGTGGCTTAATCCCAGCACTCAGGAGGCAGAGGTAGGCGGATCTCTGAGTTCAGCCAGCCTTGTCTACAGAGTGAGTTCTAGGACAGCCAGGGCTACAGAGAAACCTTGTCTTTTTGTTTGTTTGTTTTTGTTTTTGTTTTTGTTTTGTTTTCTCTGTGTAGTTTTGGAGCCTGTCCTGGATCTCACTCTGTAGACCAGGCTGGCCTCGAACTCACAGAGATCTACCTGCCTCTGCCTCCCAAGTGCTGGGATTAAAGGCGTACACCACCACTGCCTGGCTTTTTTTTTTTTTTTGGTGTTTCAAGTCAGGGTTTCAGCCGGTCGGTTGTGGCGCATGCCTTTATTCCCAGCACTCGGGAAGTAGAGGCAGTCGAATCTCTGAAGAGTTCAAGGCCCATTTGGTCTACAGAGTGAGTTCTAAGACAGCCAGTACTCTTATGCAGAGAAATCCTGTCTTGAAAAAACAAACAAACAAAACTTTTGAAAGTTATAGATTGTACCAATGTTGATTTTCTGGGTGGTTTGGTTTTGGTTTTAGTGTAGGGATGCAAACATAGGGCTTCTTGCATTTTAATGCTCTCCCAGCAAGCTGCAGAGCATCCTTAACCTCCCAGCCTACCAGGTTCCATCAGAGAGGAACTAGGTACACACCAGATCCTTTTGAACTATTTTTGCAATCCCTATAGTCCTAAGGTTATTTTGACATAAAAAGTTGAGGAGGCCGAGTGGTGGCGGCCCACACCTTTAATCCCAGCACTTGGGAGGCAGAGCCGGGTGGATCTCTGTGAGTTTGAGGCCAGCCTGGGCTACAGAGCGAGATCCAGGACAGGCACCAAAACCACACAGAGAATCCCTGTCTTGAAAAACAAAAAACAAACAAACAAACAAAAAAAAAGTTGAGATCTGGCATGGTGGCTACCCTTGCAGTCACCCATTTGGAAAGGTAGCGAGGGAGACTGAAGCGACTTTGAGGCCAGGCTGGGCGGCATAATGAGCTGGTTTTCAAAAGCAAATAGCCTGTGGGAAACTGTAAAGACCTTCGGCAACAGGGCAAACTGGAACTACCGCTTTACGCTTTACGGTATGACATGGGCTTTTGGTTACTTCCTCTCAGAAGCTCTGCCTGCTTGCTCCTGTTGTATCTGGTCCGTGGTGAGAGCATCCACTGTCCTGTGAGTTCAACCTGTACCTTGGCAGGAAAAACATTTGAAGTTCTTGGGCCACAAAGATCATATAAAAGCCTAGGCATTCTATGAGGGAAATTTGATTACCCTAACTCCTGGGGCTGTCTACTGAGTGCTTGGCATATCATTTGTGTCAAATTTATTCAACAGAACTAGCTGACTTCTGCTTC